GTTATCCGCTGAGGCAAGCCTTGGAAGCGGAAGAGACGTGACTGCTTGGATGTGAATTGGGGTTGATGCAGCTCTAGAGGAAAAATTTTGCTGATTTAGGGCCTGGGTGAAAGCTTGGATGAGTTCTTGTGGGTTCACAACTTGTAATAACTGAGGGGGAATCACTTCCGGGTTGCGTATTGCCAATGTATTGTACAACTCAGAGCGGTCAATTTTCTGCAGTGCTCTATGCTTTGGCAATGGTGTACGCAATAGGTAGTATGGCAATCCATCGTTCGCTACAGATCACATTATAATGACGTTGCTCTGAAATGCACAGTATTTTGTAGTGGATGCGAATATGTGTCCAAACTCCGTTTAGTTGTCGGCTCCAACCATCTTAAATAAAGTGTTATCGTTCATAATACATAACGTAAAACTCGTGTAGGCATTTTATCAAAAATATATAGTGAACTCAAGACATTTTATATTTTTAGGATTTTAGTGATAATATACAGAGTAAATTTGTAACTTGATATATTCCAGTTTTATTTTTATTTTCGTAAATCAAGTAATTTTTTTTTCAAAAAAATGCCCAGACACGACAATATTATATGTATAGGATTTGTTAAAAAATCGATTAATATATTTTTTATGACTGAAGTAAAAATTGAAAACTATCTTGAGGAGGGTCGTCCTATTAATAGTGTAGTATTCTATTCTTACACTGTGTTAATAGTAAGAGCTCATGTCTGTTAAGTACTTTCTAGAGGTGCTAGCCTAGCAGTATCAGATACTTAAATACTGCAGATTGACTGTTATAACTATAGTAATAACAACGAGTTGATTGTGCCTACTACAAAATAATGTGCATTTCAGAGTAATGTTATTATAATGTGATCTGTAGCGAACGATGAATTGCCATACTACCTGTTGCGTATACCATTGCCAAAGCATAGAGCACTACAGAAAATGGACCGCTCTGTGTTGTACAATACATTGGCAATACGCTTCCGGGTTGGGTGCCTGGTTAGCTTGTCTTCCTCTTGTCATTTTGACAGAGAATCACTAGCAATTTTATCACATTCGCAAAAACGCTTTTCAAGCACTTTAATTAACTTGTTGGTTATTTAACTAATTCGACTGCGCCATGTGGAGCAATTATGTAGTTTATAATTTATTTTATGTCTTACTAACCTATCATAGCACATTTTATGTCTGTGATACGCGGGCATAAAGTACCACTTTATGCCCTAGGGCATTAAGTATCACCATAGTAACTCATTTATACTTAATGACAAAACAAACAAATATTTGCAGGTCTTTGACAATTAGAAACGTCAATTATTAATTGTCAATACCTATTAAATCACAAGATTGGCCTTATTTCGTATAGTTTCTGGAACTTCTTGCTCATTCACGATGAATTGAATTATTCAAAATTACGTTTGACGTTTGGATGGTTTTAATCACATTAGCAAATTCGAACCAAGCATACTCGATCAAACATAATGAATTATTTTGTAAACGAATTTGGACGAAGAAAACTATTTGTAAAACATAAAAAAATTGTGTATGTACCACGGGCATAAACTGATGTTTATACTCTCGGGCGACTAAAAAGCTCTCGGGCCATAGGCCCTCGAGCTTTTTAACTCGTCGCCCTCGAGAATATAAACATCACCATTATGCCCTTAATACATAAATAACTAATAATAAGAAGGTTCGGAGGCATTCGAATAACGTGACTTTATATTTTTTAATAGCACTAGCAGACCAATTGTTTTTCTTATTTAAATAAGTAGCTCAATTAATAATAATCAATTAATATCACACAGATCATATAGTAATTTTCGCGAGTAGTGTAGAAGAAGCAAAATTAAAAGTAAAACTGTTAGAAGAAGCTGCAAACAAAATCGGATTACAATATCCTATAGTAAAACAGAATATATATCCAATGATAAAAATTGTGACAAATTTTTAGTTTAAAAATGGATAAACATTTTAAAATTTTAAATATCTAGGAGTATACTCGTACAGCCTTTTGACCATTTGACGGAATTTTCATCTGATAAGGAGCCACAATTTGCTGAAATTGGTCACGGGGTCAAGATTTGTATGTAACGCAAATTATAATTTTGGACCTTTGGATATTCGTGTACGTTATCCCATTGGGGAGTTTATTTTTGATTTAATATTTGTAGACAATAATTCGGCATTTATTTTGGTATCTAATTGACTTGTATCCTTTGTAATCCCCTCGAATCTTCTCAATTTCATGCGGGGAGAATGGTGGAGTGGCGCTCAATCCCTGATAGGTGCAACGAAGTAACGAAGATCATTTTACCCAGAACGAACTACCGCTGTGAAAGATTCTCCAGCTCTTATTTTGTGTTTTACCCTGAACTAGTGATACTAGTCACTAGGGTGATCTCGGGAAACTTCACAGCGGTTGTTCGTTTCTGGGCAAATAATCACGGTGACGGTTACGGTTACCAAAAATCATTGTCGAGCGCTACCCAATTTCTTGCGTACAAATATCGACTCACCCTGTAAGAAATTGGGAAGATACCAGGGAAACAATAAAGACATCAACTAACGAAATAACGGCTTGTTAACGTTTGTCAAAAATAATATCCAATGGATAAATAAATAAGTGAGAAATTCTCTTCACAATACATCTCGAAATTACCTCAAATAATATTTCAAACGTTACAGTAAACTAGGTAAACTCTCCAACGAATCCCCAAAGTACAGTAAAATTCAAAATATAAGCACTATCCCAATTTAGTATTGAAGTTCTAACAATAATTATCAACAATTTACTATTGACTTCGGTCAAACTGCCATATAAAGTATAAGTAAGGAGATGCAAACACTTAAAAGAACAATTTTGTGCGCAATCAAATTGGAAACCGAAAGCTTTAGGAGCTGTTCCGGGAATGAGCTCAGTAGTCCCAGCCCATAACCATCCCTGAAGGTCAAATAATAAAGAAAAACTCCCAAGCCGCTCGGAATCTAGGTAATGATAGTGCCTGAAGGGCCTATCATACTTGTAATATGCTGTCGTATCGTGTACGAATTTAATGGTACGCTACTTCAGACGGAAGCTAGCATACTAACAATTATATGCGCGTGCAAAGCAAAACGATCATGAATCGCAGAAAGTACCTTGATTTCGAATAGGTATAAAAATGGATGTATAACATTAATTACTCGTTGTATTTAAGAAGATAAAGGTTTACAACAGTTTCATTCGCTCCCTCGAATTAAATCCTTATCACGGTATGGATGGCCGCTCCCTGGTTATATCAACTTAACAGTTTTGGGAGAAGTGGCATAAAAGTTATTTGACGAAATAGGCTTAAATGGCAACAAAGTCCAAATCTTAAAGAAAACATGTTAGTTGTTCTTAAGGAAGGTATTGTCCCGCCGTTATATTCGCCGATGGGACGAATTACGAAAATAACTTATGGCAAAGATCAAAAGGTTAAAAGATCGTCTTGAGTCACTCCGACATATTAACAACATTCCTAAAAGATGGGTGTTTCCAGTCCCCCGAAAAAAAGAAGAGGAAGGAAAAAAAGCCTAATTAAATCAGAGGCCTCGAAATTCTCTCCCCAGATTAAGGAGCAGTTCGACTACGTGATCCAAAAGAAAAACCCAAATTAAAGTTTCCAACGGGAATTTTTTAGAAGGCGCAAGCCACTTCGGTTTCGAAATAATAAAATTGTGCCAGCAGTTCTCCAACAATAAAATCAGTGACCGTAAAACAGAACTGTTACAAAAAATGAAGTGCTCTAGGCAGTGAATGTTGTAGTATAATTTAATTCTAAAAAAATTCTGAAAGAAGAGAGGATGATCTTGAAACATTTTATGCCCAAACCAAATAGAGAAAGCAGGACTTAAATCTAGCAATTAAATTTATAAGGAAATAGAAACAGAGATGATTAAGATTTTTTGGACATATAATACGAGTATATAGATAAAATAATAATAGACCCGCAAAACAAATTTCCACCTTCTGATTGATTTAGGAAAATTAGATGGCGAATGTTCCTTGAAAGCGTCAATAATTTCAAATGGTTTGTTTCCATTAAATTTGTGATATTTGAAATAATGCCAGAAGTATTTGAAATTATTTGCGATTAAAATAAGTAAACAATAAGGGGAACAAGACAATGTAAAAAATATAAGTATGAGAAGGAATTGTCGTGAGTGAATTGACCGGATGAAGTTAACCTCGGATACACTGAGGGCAAATATACTGGCGGCAAAATTTTACTGGGGTGGAGAGGGCGGGATAATCCAAGAGCGAAAATCTGATGTATACTGTCAACCCATTATTTCTACTATAATACGTTTTTGTTGAGTATCTCATTATGAGAACGCTTTTAATGAATGGGACAATTTGGGACAAGGCTATACGCATAGCAGTTATTTCAAAGACGAGTCCGCTCGTTGAGGTAGCTGGTAGATCTTTCCTCGGTGTCAATTTTCTTTGGGGTGGGTTCTAATATAGTCTTCCCGAGGCGAATTTTCCGAGGGACGAACCTTGCGAGTGAATTGTGCGGTGGCGAATTATCCGGGACACAAGGAAATCTTAACGGTGCGTATTTTCCGGAGCGGATCTTCCGGAGGCGAATTTTCCGAGGACGAGTTTACGAAACAAATACCTACTCAGCAATAATTCTGTTAAGTGATAAAGGAAATTCTGGGGTTCTGGGGTCAAGGGGGAAGGGTAGGTAATAAATGCACTCGTTTTCCGTTATTCCAGATCCAATAACGTTGAGGTTCCCACACATACAGGGGCGAGATAAAAGCGTCGAAGAGTTTTTAAAGTGTTTAACGATTATAAGGGAAAAATTAGTCGGTAATATAATTAAAGAATTTTGTTTAAAAAATACGAACGAGTTTGTGTGAAACGGTTCGTGTGTTATCGACGTGTGCCGGTTACCGATGATGCAATTTGAACGGTGGCCCGACCCCGGTCTTGAATCCAGTCAGTTCGTGAGCGTCGTCGTCTTGCGAGAGTTTGAGTTAGTGCCGCTTTTTCGTGTGCGTGTTTTATAAAACTTTGTACGTTCTGTGAAAAGTTTTTTGATGCACTTCTTTTGGAATATTCTTACTTCTTCGTCCGGTCGGTAGTTGAGGTGAGTTGTTGTCGCTTACCCCTTTGCTTGGGCCGGTTGATGTGCTGTTGGGTGTGTTGACCGGCACGCTCGATTAAGGCCATTTTTATTACATTTAATAACCCAGCTGTTCGTAACTCTCAACAATGCTTACATATCGGTATGGAATGCGTGAGTCGGTAGATTAAATCGTTTTCAATATAAATTCTTTTTTTAATAAGTGAAATGCAGCAGCCGCCATTATTTCTTTAGACATCGTCTGTCCTTCGTGATTGTTACTTGGAAAGTCGGCAGGTAGGTAGTAACTTCAAAGTTCAAACTGGCAGACGAGACGCTAAGAAAAGTAAGGCGTATGCTTCGTTTCTCCATTCTTTATTTTAAAATTGTTTACGTTTCTCGCAAAGCAAAACAAGTTACTCGCCTCCGGCAATTCTAACTGTATGTACATACTTTCAGTTTCAGCCCATCATCGCATACATATTTTTTACTCCAACGTAGCATCGTTAAAAAAATATGCGCCCTCTTACCATTTTCCGATTTTGATTTATTACGAAAATTATAAGAAAATATTTTTCTTGTAAAAAGTTTTCCAAATTTATAGCGTTTAATCTACCTCCAGTTAGAAGTTCTGTCAGTTAGTCGCGTTTTTCTTCGCAATTTTTCGAACGATGTTACATTTAGATGAATGCTCCTAGTGATTTAAGTGGTTGTAGTTAGGCAGGTATTTGGTGTTGAGAAAAATCTCCACAGCATTACTTACCACGTGGCGGTTTAGGGAGAATTTATTATAAATATTGTTTACTGCAGATTATATAACTAAAACCTTTGGGTAAGTATCTCTCATATGTTCTTGAACTTTGAAAATGTCACTGTTACAGCCCACAGCTTCTGGAGTTGTTGCCACTAAACAACAGCTTATAAGTTGGCGATGTAAGTCACTTGCCATCATGTGTAAAATTTCGAAAATATGCAATTGTATGCGGAAGGAATGAGAAGGATTGGAGGACTTTGATGTTTTAGTTCGATTCATTGCGACAGCAGAGTGAAATGCTAACATAAACAGAAGGTGATGGTCTAATATTCGATTAAAATGGCAGTGAAGAGCAATAATAAAGAAAAATATTCAAGTGTCGGCTGATAACATCTTACCGAGTGCTTACTGAATCTGTTCTACTCGAGGTTTTACTAACATTAGTAATACAAAGTGGTAGTCTCAGTGTAAAAACAACCCCAACAAAATCTGAATTGATTTGAATTCTCAGAGAGGACCAAAATCACGCCATGATGCGTAGAGAAATAGCTACCTCAAGGATCCTCAATTAGGAGTCCGTCCCTTAAATCTTCTAGAAAGGTACATTGTTGTACCCGAACTGTACTAAATAAGAGCGACTTTGACTATATTACCAAGGGCCAGTTTTTGAACTCCTATACGTAAGTACAGTTGTTGCATGGAAAAAAAGCCTTTAGTGGAACGGTGAGAGTAGAGAATAACGTGGGGGTTTACACCGAGATTGCCGGATATCCAAATGTTAATAGTATTCTCTCACCGTTTTAGAATAATAAATTTTTAAAATTACCACCACAAATTCAATTTTTCACATAAAAACTTGAATATCGGCGAAGCCCTTGGAGCAAAGGGTCAACTATGGGGCATCGTTGTACTCCAAATTCGACGTAGAATCCGAAAATGTAGAAAAAATAGGGGGTCCCTATTTAAAATAACAAAGTTGATGGCTACTTCCGGTGTTTCCGGAAGTGGCGCCATCTTGAAAATATTTTAGTTCAATTCAGCATGTGCCAAAACCCTTAAAGAACTTATCAGTTTATCTTCATTTTCAAAGGTTTTCCATATCTTTCTAACTGATGCTCGTCAAGAATGACCCTGTATATACAGGGTGACAATTTGAAAACTTACCACCCCCCATATCTTAGTAAATAAACGAGATATTTAAAAAAATCAAAATCCGTTTCGGTAATTCGGAGGGGAATCACAATGACATAGTTGGCGACGCACCCCCTCCAACCCCCTGCGCCCCAGCCACCCCAACTTTTAAATCTTAAATAGTGACCCCCCATGTGATACGTCGTTGGAAAGCTCTGAAAAAATGCTTTCCAGCCATACCAAATGGCATTACATTTAGGTTAGTAATTATCGTGAAAATCAAAAAATTAACTGGTCACCCTGTATATAGCTAGTAGTACCGGAATTACAATTCAAAAAAGACAATTTGGCGACCATACATGGGGGTTAAGATTTATAACCCTTTGCGCAGTCGTCCATCAGGGTGTTTTCCCTGCACGTTAATTGGGGAATCGTTATCAACCTCTCACGTGAATTTCATCGGGATATTACGAGAGGTTCCTGAGATAATGTACGACGGTGGGTTTTTCAACCCCCTTTGAATGGCGTGCACCGGGATGTTTATCTTGTATATTACTTAATTGTGGAATTATTGTTAGCAACTCACTGTTACATTTGATAGAGGAGCTGCTTATACCTGTATACCGAGCTGTATACCATATCGCCTAGGTAATATCAGATTGAAGTACAATCTTCACCCTCTTCGATATCTTTATCTGGAGCAGATGATGAAAATCTTAAGGTTCAATCTGTAACGTGCATCTCTGACGTATCATACTAAATTTCTTAAGAGTTTAGGTAGCGCATAGGATGTCATTCGTGCTGCATTCTTGAAGCGCGTGGATCTTATTTTATCTAGTAGGTAGTCCTTAAGAAAGGAATTGCTTACGCTTCTTGTAGATAATGAATTGTGGATTATTTTAGTGTGGCGACAAGAGCCAATTCTAATTAACTTTCATTTGCTTTTATTTCAATTAACGTATAAATTTAACTGTGGCTTTGCATGCGATTTGCGTACGCATTTTAATTTAAAAAAATGTGATTTAACTCATATAACATTAGTATTAACAATCGAGTTTATCGAGCAAATAGATTCTATTTTGTGCCTGCACCTCTAATATAACACCCAATCAGGTAACGCAGAGGTTATTGATGAAAATCCCTCTGTAATTTGCCTAAAGAAGTGCAGGAACAAAATAAAATATTGTAACGTCATTTTAATTACGTGATTATAATTAATTTATTCATGAATTTGTAACAGTCTTGTACACAAATTTATAACATGTAAATTTATCACATACAAGCGCGAACTAATAATCACTTCGGCATCGATTATAGAATTGCCATTAAACACAATTCGATTTGATTGTATAGACAACGGAAAGTTTCTAGAAAGATCACGGAGATTGTCGAGAAGAGCCAGTGATACTTGGTCCTGAGAAAAATAAATATTTTTGGTATAACATTTATCTCTTCGTTAAGTCTTTTGCGAGGTCTTTTGTTATAATAAATATTAATTAAGTTCTTCTACTGTAGAATTGCAGTTTCGGATAAAGAGCGATCTTTAGTATTTAATATTTATCTACAAAATTAAATGATATGATAGCGTCTCCTAATGGCTTATGCTAGTAACGCTTTTATTTCTTTTCGTGAATTAAGCGATCAGAAATAGATACCGTTTTTCTATTCCAAGATGCACGTTTTTTTTCAAATCCCACGTGTTTTAGCGTACGCACGAGCCAGTGACACTAAATCGTGTGTCATTTCCTATTTTCGTTAACGAGGTGCGGGATTTTAAAGTGTACGATTTATTATTGTTTCTTTCCTAAATGTCTTGCAACATAAAACTGCAGTACCATTTGTTTCCTGAAGATCGCAATTAATTGTACTTGAAAAATAACGTTTTCAACTCAGTTTTCGATGACTTTCGAACATCGGTGTAATTTAGAATTTGAATAATAAAGTAGCTGGGGTGACATTGAAGACATCGTATGGAAATTTGTTAGTTGGGGAGGAGTACCCACTCACTGTTACTATTAAATTCCTTCATCTGGATATCTGGGCACTTCGAAAACGAAACAGATCCATTTTCGGTTTCGTTAAAGTTTCAAGAAACATTTGGGGGACGTTAAATTGGGATTCGAAAGGAAACCTTCTACTCTTATAGCAACTTTATTGCATTTATAGGGCAAGTAACATCGTTGGAAAGGCTTTCCTTTCTTGAAGATTCTTTTAGATTCAAAACCATTGTTTTCTGGATATTCCAGAAGAAAATCTCGTCGGTTTGAATAGCGCCGTATTTGAAAAACGCTTATTTCTCCAGGTGTATACAAACAAGTTGTAAATCAGCATATGCATGATTAAAGCGCATTTTTGGTAATGCAGGTCAGTATTTTATTAGCGAAGTTTAAAATTATCGATCTCACGAGTAATTTTGGCTGCGTTAAATAATTAATTTTATTTAATTTCAATTGACGGTACGTCTTCATTTTGTAAAACAAATCACAAAGTAAATAATAAGTTTTTATACTGGTAGCGCTATCTAACGGTAAAATTATAGCACCTCCGAAACCCATATCGAAATTATTTTCTTCATATCGATTTCACAAGTAATCTAACTCAAAATAGAGTAGTGCCTGCACATCTACACTATATCAGAAAGCTTTTAGTGAAAATTTGAAGTCTCTAGCTATTGTAGTTGTGGAGATCTAACGCGGACAGCCGGCCTGCCAGCAATGACGAATATAATAGCGTATTTTTTTCAAAAATGCGCTAAAAACCATAAAATCCGAGGCAGCAAACTCGACACCTACAGAACTTTACAGAAGAAAATACTTCCGCACTTTTGTTGCTCAAAAGTTGTGTAAGTGCAACTCAAAACAATCAAGATTAACTGAGTTCAATGACACATTGGCCTACACTAATTATTTTTGTAATTAAAGGTACATAGGTAATTAGGCAGTTAAATGTTTAATAAATAATGGACGGCCAGCAAATGGTTATTTTTAAATTGGTGGGTCTTATCGGAAATTGCCGATCCCCGATGTCCCATTTATATTTATCTTGTAAATATTGCGATGAGTCAAAATAAATAGCTATCGGTGATTAGTAGATATGTTTCCTCATCACTTTCATTCATCTTGTGGCGCCATTCCATTAA